CCCCATGTGATATAATATTCATAATATTCATATTAAGTCATATCGTCCTGGAATGTCTAAAGGCTCAAAAGGCAGGAATCCTGGATTTCTGGCTGTGACCACTGAAAATAGAAACAACACCCTAAAACATGACTGTCTATTCATCCTTCTTATAAAGGGAGAAAGTACTGGAACCTTCACCGTTCAGCTGAAGGAGTCAGCTCAGGGGAATGAACCCCCTCTCCTTTGTCCCTTTTTTCCATCTTGGCTAGTGCTCCCTGTATATATGATCACCTGATGGTCTAACCTAGAGTAGATGTAACTACTTCATTTTAACATATCCTCTGTGCTGCTGACTTCTCTCTTCTGTCAAGGTATGGCATCTATTGTCTCAGCTCCATTGATAAGGAGATGACAGGCCTTCTTTTCTTCAGACAAGTGCTAACCGAGTACAAAACCCAGGAGTTTCAACACTATCACTTTTGGAGAGTTGTGCTTAACTTCAGACACCAACGAAACTGCAAGGCTAACAGGACAGAGGCTTTACACTTTCCTAGTTTTGGAAAAGTGCAGGGCATGATGACCATGCGGTCTGGTTTACAGCTTGGATTTTATTGGATTGAAGTCTGTGTGACCCAATAGGTGGCATGGCTGTGACTTATGATACTTATGATATATGACATATGAAGTTATATGTCAGAAAAGAAGAGGAAAGCTGCAAGAATTGATTTGATCCAACAAGTTCAGTGTCTTCAGTAGGAAAATGTTTGTAACTAGATAAGAAAAAAGAGCATGAATATACACTGTATGTATATCATACTCCATAATGATAATTAATGTAGTCTCCAATAGGATCTGAGGACTATCGGCCACTTGCGTCATTGGAGGTGGCCATAACTGATAGTTCTGAATTAGTTTTCAGTATATTCTCTGGTCTTGCCAAGGTGGAATTTGAGCCATATTTTTAAAATTTAAGATTGTGAACAGATTTTGAATGAATTCTATCTAGCTGTTAGCAGAATTAGAGAGAGAACATTCAAAATGGCATTGCTGTCTGTGATATGCCTGGAATTGTGGGAACAACCTTTGTATTACCCTTAGGAAAAGCATTTTGGACTATTTTGTTCTCACAATATACATGTGTATGTTACTACTTCTATTATTTGAAATTTGGTGTCCTTTGTATACTCAGTATCTTTGTGAATTAAAGCCACTTCAGTAAAAGCTTTGCCTATTAGAGACCATGATACAGATTCTGTTTCATATAGTCAGTTTTAAATAAGTATACCCTGCCTTGAGTAAAAAAAAACCAAAATTGACCCAATAGAACAGTATCCTTGGCAGGGAGAAAGAAAATTATAAAAGCAGTAGGAATTGCTAAGGTTCTGGTGATACAGTTTACTAAAAGAGTTCTATGTATCAGGATACAATGTATTGTAACCACAATTTATCATCCAGTGGGCATGAGTACATTAGACCTACCAAAACCAAGAGATGTGAATTAATCTCCATTCCTCTGTGGTGCTTGGATAATGTTCTGGAACAATGTGTGTTGAGGAGAGAGATAGCATTATAATACATGCATAAATAGCTTAAATTATTATAAATTGCAAGAACAAATTTTGACTTTTTTCATTGTTTCTAGATATTACGACAATTACATGTTAATTACCACTATAGAATACAAGTATGAATCCGACAGTGAAAATGTCTTGCAAAATTATGTCTGACTTTTTTCTTTAAAACGTGCAGGATCAGTAAGAATATGCTGATTTTGAAGATAAATCAGTTTATACCATTTGAAAGCTTCTGTCCCATTTGGCTATTAAAGCTATATTTTCTATTACATCATCAATAAGATAAATAGTGACGATGTGGCAGGCTTAAGTATACCATAAAGCCTAAAAAAAGAAACAAACATCTAAGACCTCCAAAATATATGTGCTAGAGAACTAGATAGATCTAAAGAACTCAGCAACAGGTTTCCATATCAATAACTTAGTCTTCAGATTTTAATAGCTTCAGTGATCTAGGGAAATAGACTCTATATCCAGCAAAATGCAAGTTTATAGCTCAGTGGATGGAGATTCAGGCTTCCATTATAAATAAATGACATTGCATTAAATTGCCCTAGCCTCTTACTGCACAACACTATCTGACACCAGTAAAATATTGCTACATTACCTTGCCCTTTGTACCAACAACAGCAGCACATATTGCCAACAGTTAATTTGCCCCAGGGAACACTGGTTTCTTTGTGAACAGCAATGCACGTCAGTACAAGTGGGTTGATATCTCTTTCCCCCATTTATTTCCAATGCAAGACATCTTCACTTTTGTGGCAGGACTGAAATAGAGATAACTGAAAAGTCACCTTATGCAACCGTTTTTGCTTCTTTGAGCTATTCATTCTTGTATGAGGTAAGATAGATGCTGATTTACAATAGGCAACTTGTACTGAGCACATCATATTTTACATTATTTTTTGAATAAAATATGAAATATTAGCCCTAAAGACTTTAACTTTTTAAGTAAATAGAGGCTTAAACATTGTCAAAAAGACAGGTGGTGCCTAATTTAGTAAATATTTTGCAGAAGCTTATGACATAAGATGAAGCTTTTCTATTCACTTGATAGCATACATTATACTGGTTTAGTAGAAGTACCACTTACTCAAAGTGATTCTCTCTGAGTTTGCATTTTACAGCTGTTATAAGGTCCTTCTCCCTTCTGCTAAGCAGAACACTGAGGGAGTAGCCTGAGTAGATTGCACAATGGGTAGACAAACACTTTACTTCAGACTGGTATTCAATGTCTTGTACTCTCAGCATAATAAAGTGCCAAGTGGTACATTTGGTAAAATTATAGAGGATTATCTTACATAGTGTTTTACATAGTATAGAGGATTATCTTACAAGTGCTCACAGGCACATGCAGATCAGTGTTCTTACATCAGTGTTTGTAAAAAGTAGAACTAACATAGAAAAAAAGCATTTCTGGTATTGATATGCAATAAATATACTATTTGACTTGTTTGATTTACTAAGTTGATAAGCTTAAAAAAAAAAAGTGTGTATGTGTATATGTGAGGAGGAAGATTACTGTTCTGTATTTCTTGGATCTCTTACAATTTCAAAATACACTACATAAATATTCCAGAATTTGTCCTATGTTCAAAAATTCTTGGCGACATCAGAGGCAATGTACTTTCAGAAGCAATGTCTACAGATATTTTCCTCTGTGAGGTGCTCTGTCTGACTGGAGTGTGTTTGATACGATCTAGGAGTGTGTATTAAAATCCCTGCCAATGGGATTCGGGCACTTTATGTGTTAGTCAACATTATATCTGAACTACAGTGGGAGATAGGCAAGCACTTGACGACCAGTCCACCAAAGTAAGGTTGTAAATTTAGGAGCCCAGAGAACTTCACAGTTCAAAATTTAAGTAGTTAATGGCATTTCTAACTACAGGCTCTGGTGATTTCCATACTGTAGTTTAGACTGAGGGAATTCTCTGGGAAATAATGTGTTTGTACTTGGACAGTATCATTTTTCTTCCCCATGAAGTGCTAAGGCTTGGACAACTGGCCCAAGCCAGAGTTGACCTATAGATGAATCCTGTATATTTTATAACTGAAAGCCATTGTGCTAGTAGGTATTGTACTAAGTTATAACAACCTACTTATGCTGATGTAAAAAGTGCTAAAGCATTGACATACTGAAGCCTGAACAACTGGCCCCAAGCTGAAGCTGCTAACTTAGTATGTAATCATTAGCAAAGTATGTAAACTCGCTAGTGAAAGATGCAGCTTAGACAAAATATAATCAGTAGTGAGGAGAGAATGTATCCAACTTCCCTTGTTTAGCCTTGTTCAAGGCTGAGAACCCACGCATTTGGCCTTGTTAGAAACTCCCTTGGTTTCCCCCCCTGAGCCTTGGCCAGGCTTTGTGTGGAATCCAACAGGAGAATGAAACCAGAAATTTTCTGCTCAAAATAAAGGTGCCAGCTATTCTGGCTTGTCCATCTCTGGTATATAAGGCTGGGCCTGTTTGCAGCGACTTTAGCAGGCTCACCTGTGGGTGGACGCACCGCATAGGATTTTCCCCTTGCCGGGACAGGCTCTGCAAATCCTCACTGTAACCGGGGCACCCCAGCGACTGTGGATCTGGATGATGACATGCAAGTGGTGATGTATTTTTCTTAATCTCCATTCTCTCTCTTGTGTAGTAATGATCTAATGCATTACCCTGTTTTTTCCTGTTTTCTACTTTAAGTGCACTATTCTGCTTTTTTCTTACTGCATGTTTTCTGTATTACATTGTTATCACTAGTAAAATACGCCTGCTCTTTTCACTCTGGTGTCTGAGTTTAATTGGTATCCTTAAGCAGCAGAACACCCCAAAGCATCTGCTACTGGCCACTGTCAGACAAGACTTTGGGCTAAACACACTCAAGCTTTTATGAAGTATTTTTACTTAAATTACCATTAGTCCAATTTAAGATACCTATTAGGTCTCTGGATCAGGTTTTTAATCTGTTTCTGCCTCACAATCTTTTCTCACTAGTGCTGTAAGGGACGTACACAACATTAAAAATATATAAATATAAAATACATGTATTTGTAAACTTTTGAATAAGCTCATTGCTACTGCTCAAAGATTACACAGTGTGTCTGGACTGTGAAATAGTGGAATACAAAACTGAAAACATTCAGATTTTTTCCCTGTTATGATACCTTCCCCTCTCAGCCACTTTGTCCATAAGAATTTCTGCTGTTGGACAGCCTTATACCAGAAAGACACTGTAACACCCTAGTCTGTGAACCAAGCAAAGGACTCTCTTAGCATAGGTAAAGTTGTATCAGGAAATCTGCACTTTGACCTGTAATTGTTAATTATACCACTTCAAATAAAGCAAGCTCTCTTTGTGAAGTGCAGTTGAGTGATACTACTTTATCTTTTCTAAAGGTTTCTGCCAGCTGTGTCACTCACAGATCACCCCTTATCCATCTTTAGATCAGCATTGCTGTTATGGTTGTGAAAATCAAACAAAATACTGCAATTCTAAATTTTCACTATAATTTTTGCAATATTCAGAAGGGTCTGAAAAAATATGGATGATTTGGCTGATATTTTCTCCGTATGTTTTTTGCTCAGTCATTTAATGATGCTGTAGATATGTATGGTTTGATGCCAATAATTCAGCTACCAGAAGAGAAGGATGTTTATATTACAAAAACGGGCATGCAAACAGGCTTGCTACAGTCATAGCAATAAAATGAGTGTAACACCAACATAACAATGCTAAAATTAAGACATGTCTTGGTGACCTCTAAAAATATACATACACCACTAGGGGCTGGGCATGGATTACTTTTCAGTCAGGTTTGCAACCTGTGCTGACCTCAGTGTAGTTAGTTAAGGTTGTACTAACCATGATATCTGTGCTAGGTAGTCTACTAGCTGAGATATTTCTTTTCTGTATTGCAATATAGGCAAATCTCTTGGTGTCTGGAAATGCCACTTCCATTTCCTAGCATTTGTTGTTCAAAGAAGACTTTTATTCTCTTTGCTGCTATTAATTTGGTTTCCTAGTTTATGAAATTCTCTCTGTTGGTGCTCTAAATTTTAGAGCAAACTCTTCATATACATAATCAAAATTATTTTCTTCATAACTATGTTTTGATCAGCATTATTGATCATGACTTCCCTTGTTTAGAAACAAACAGAACGGCACTCTCAGAATCACTTATCTCTTTCCTTCTTCTCTTCAGGAGTAATCATGTCGATCAGCCTCTTTACTTAGTCACTGAGAAAACTCACCCCTTGCTGTTAGGAACTGTAAATTGATTTGCATTACAGAACATGAAATATAAAGTCTCAGATAACAAAAACTGACTGTAATTATAGTCACACACAAAAAACCCACAGAGGGAGACTTTTAAAGCTGAGTGCCAGCAAAGCAAAACAAAACCCAAACTCAAGGAAATCCAGTTATGAACGAAACACTCCATATGTCTTCTAACACATAAATGTCATTAGACACATTATGCAATTCATTAACATGGAAGTCTGCTGTGCTTAGATATTGTTCAAAGCAGGAAAGGTGTCATTATGGTGTTTGTAACTTTTATTGGTTTATCTTTCAATTACAAGAAATTTGTGTGGGTGGAGAATATGTGTTTGATGAGGTATAACCAGATCTTGAGTCCTAATTCTGTACCTGCTACCTACATGTGCACATTGCAAGTAGTTTTTTTGTGCTATAGTTTACCTGTCTATCAAGTGGGAATTATACATATGTTTTGTGGATTAATTAGGTGAAAATTCTGAGGTACTTTTTGAACACGTAGAGTGCTATGTAAATATTAAGACTCAGATCCACACAAGTGTTTAAGCACTTAACACCTGTCAAAACAAACAAAATTAAGTGCCTAAGTATCTTTTTGCAGATCTGAGCTTTTCTGCTTGCTGTTTGTAACTTTTGTTTTTTCTTTAATCAAGCAGTTGTTGCTTGTAGAATGTGTTGGTGAACAAGTTCAATAAAGAAAATTACATGCTCATGCTGGTAAGTATTTTTCAAATGTTGCGGTTTATTACAACTATACTTACAGTTTTGTACAGTGCATTTTCCATCTTCAGGCCTTATGGAGGTTTCTATTAACATAAATTATTAAGAGGAAAATGGAAGCCTTTATTCTCAAGGTTCAGTTGCTCTTTTTCATGTACATGTGTAATTGGAATTGTTACTCTAGGGACCACTGTGTGTACAAAGGTTTCTTTTTAGTTTTGGTTGGGATTTTTACCCTCAAAACAGAATGCAATTCATACATTTTTAGTCTACAGTAGTAATTATTTGTGACAAAGTGATGAGTTCCATCTCTGAGTGCTATGAATAGAAAAAAATTATATCTTAAATGCATAGAAGGCAAGAATATGAGACAGTCAGCCATGGTGAGAGAAATATCTTGATGAATTCATAACCAGAGGGCTCACTTCTTCAACCTTCTGCAGACTGTTCAGTTTACAACAACACCCTGTGTTGTTACTCCATTACTGTACAGTGATTTCATTCAGCTTCCAGCTGCACAGGCCTTTATGTCCATTATCAAGTCACATGTATACACTGTTGTTACATTAAGCAAATATGTATGTAATATACTGCTATTATCCAGGGAGCTAGCCACTGAAGTTAAAATTAATTCCCACTTTCACAGATAAACAAACAGCATGCTGAAGACTTTAATGTAGTATTTGGTACCTCTGACACATAGAGACACATGAAGTTGTGCAAGTCAGCCCTAGTTAAAAACTGGGCCCACGCTTTTATTTCAGTTCATTATTTTCCAAATCCCCTTACTCAGTGTCTTTATTTTTTTAAGGAAATCTGTCACATTATGTCCTTTCTTGTTTTAGGAATATCTTGCATAAAACAAGCCAGTAGTGACCTCTCATATATATAGTGTATATACAATGTATATATATATATAGTGTATATACAATGTATATATATATATATATATATAAAATATCATTTCTAGTGAATAGCAGGCAGTTATTAATACGGTATATAAAAAATGCTTATGCTGGTTTTGAGTGACAGGGTTTTTGGTAGCAGGGGTGGGGGCTACAGCGGTGGCCCTGGTGAAAAACTTCTCAAGGCTCCCCCGGCTCCAAGTCAGACCCACCTTTGCAACAACACCAGGCCAATCCGGCCTCTGTGATAATGTAATTACAAAGGTGAACCTGAGAGGTGGGGGGACTTGGAGGAGGCGTTAAGAGGTCACCTATGAGAGCACCGAGGTCAGTTTAAGGAAGGAGGAGGAAGGGGGGAAGGTGCACCTGAGCATGGACCCCCCTTGTATCTCGTGGTGAGATGGCAGGGCCACCCCCCTGCCACCCATGGAGGTCGCCAGAGGAACAAAAATTCACCTGCAGCTTGTGGAGGAGCCCACACTCGAGCAGGTAGCTGTGACAGGCTAAGACTCTGTCAGAAGATGCAGTCCCCCCTGTTGTAGTTCAGCACTTGGAGGACTGCAGCACGTGTGGGTGCATCTCTAGAAGAATGCATCCCATGGGAAGGACTCACAGCAGAGAGAGTTTGTGTCTCCCATGAGAGGGACTCCACATGAAGCATGGGGAAGAATGCAGGAGAGTGCTTCCCCCCCGCCTTGGAGGAAGAAGCAGTGGATTGACTGCACCCCATCCCCTGCCCCAGCACTGCTGGCGGAGGAGGTAGAAATAGTATGGACAAAAAAAGCTGGGCCCGGCAAGAGTGGAGGGGTGGGGGGAGGTGGTTTTATCATACATTAAGGCTTCTTATTGTCCAGTTCTGTCTGTTAAGAGTTGATTTTGCTAGTGTTTGAATTAAAGTGATGTTCTTTTTTTTTCCCGTAACAGTCTGTCTTTTTTACCTGTGACCATTTAAATTGGCGAGAGACCCCTCCCTGTCATCTCGATTCCTGAGCTTTTTTAATTTAATTCTTCTCCTCAGTGCTGGGTGGGAAGGAGTGAGTGAACACCTGCATGGTGCTCAGTTGCCCTCCAGGACTAAACCATGATAAGGCCATAGTTTAAAAATAGGGTTCAACAAAACAGCACATTTTTGGGTTGCCATTTTTAAGTTTTAAGCCACTTTTTTTTTTTTAATTTTACATTAAGTAAGCATGAACACATATTGGAGGATTTTTCAAGCCCAATTAGTACAATATGCAGAGAATTACATCTCCTGTCGCCATCCTTATAGTTATTTTTAAACACAGTTCTGGTGGAAAAAAGTTTCTGATTATTAAGTTCATCCTGATTTCCAAATACCAAGGCAATTCATTATTTAGCATTTGGATATGGTGTTGCTATGGAATGCTGACTGAATACATAGAGAAGTGAGACTGCCTTCAAACATTAATCTGATTTTTTTTCCAACGCTCAGGAATATTACATAAAGAATGGATTATGCAAGGGTATAACACTTATATAAAAACAATGGCTGTTGGGATAATTTGATTTTTTTGTTCGTGCTTTAGCATCACTGATGATAACAGCATGTCTGCTATTAGTCATCCTAGTTACTTGTAGTACAGGGACAGAACATGATACTAAGTATTTGTTGGTTGCCCAAGAAATGATGACTTCAAAGGACTCTTGCAGGTTCCTATATCCTAAATCTTCTAGGATAAGATAAAGTGCTGCAAGAAAATATATCAATATCTCAGATACATATACAGTATGTAACTTAAGGAGGATTTTAAAACCAGAAAAAATCTTTGTAGTTGTCTGGTCCATATATAAAGCTATTTAAACAATGTAACAGAAGAAATTTCTACATTATGACTACAACTGGAGGTAGATAATATCTTTTAGACAAAGTTGAACAAAATAAAATGCACCTTAAATTTTAAAATTCACTGCAGCTCTTTGCATATATATGTAGAAGGTTTAACAGAATTTATACTTATCAGTGTTAATGGAAACTGTATTCACTTACGGAAAAAGCAATGAATGATGAATAACTCCTTTAAATTCTGTCTACAAGTTTAAGATAATGCCATTACTGGAGGTTAAGTTCTTTAAGAGTAGCAACAGCCATAATAATTAGTTTGCATCTTGAAGTTACAGTCTGACCTCTCAGAAGTCATAGAAAACAAATATGCAATAAAAAGGCATGGAAAGAAAGAACAGACAAGAAAAAGGTTCATACAGTTAAAATCATTGTTGGACTACAGGTTCTGCATTATTCCCCATCAGTTAAATCTAAGCAAACAATGTGTGTCTGTGTTGACTATCCAGTTACTTGCTGGCAACTTACTTGAAAGCATTATTATAAGGATAAGCCTTCTTAAAACTTTGAAAAAAAAGCAGATTCTAAAAAAGAAAAACCCCGAACAAACCTGAAATAAATAAATAAACATATGCATTTCTTCCAGGCTTACAGTCCTGGATTGTTTCTTAAATATGCATATTTGGGGTTAACAATCTTTTAATACTCTTGACAATAAGATTGAGGATACAATGAAAACTTAATGAGTACATGTTTAATGCTTTTAGTTGCTATGTCACTGTTTTTAATAGGAACTGATTCCAGTATTGAACTGCCATTTCACTTAGTCTGGTTCTAGTCCAACACACAAGGAGCAGAAGAGAATGCAGTGTTTTTCTCCCCAACTTTCCGAATATTATGGGTTTTTTTTCTGTTCTCAAATTTTTGTAATTGTTAAGTGGAAAAGAATCAGTTAAAAGGCTTTGGCTTAAAACAGGACAAAACCACCAGGGAAATTCATAGATACTAGAGAAGCCTCTTGATCCGTATAATACAGTCAATAAGGCTAGGACTCCCAAGGGGGGTCTTAAGGTCCTTGTTTTTAGCTTTGTGTCTGTGATGCCTTTTGGTCTAGTAGCATGTGTTTCAGAAGCTCCTGAAATCATGAGGGGCTTGGCATCACAGAATAGGATCCTTCATAAAAGATTAGTGGAGACTCATTTGATTCCAGGCTGTCAAGCTGATAATGTCTGAGGGTTCCTGATCTCACATATATTTTTAATAAGGACTGAAGAAGAACCGCTTGTAAGGCTCTCTTACTACAACCATTCTGTGGGGTATTTTAAAATCCCAAAATGGATGAAATGAAAAATTATTTTAAAAGTCTGAAACATGAGACTTATACTCTGTAACAAAGCTTTGAAATATTTATTTTTATAAAATTAAAGTACTGTGAAGCAGTATTTCTTCTTAAAGGATGTTTTAGATTCTAATTCTCACATAAATATATTTTAATTCAGAACTATCCTCTTTTCTTTCTGCATGCTCAAACTTGCTGCATTGCAGTGTTGTGCATATTTGTAATTTAATGTTGGTAAACCTCTTTAAATGTTAACGTTGTTATTTAAACACAGATATGCATTTCAGTTTGAAAATGTAATGATCACAAAAACCAGAAGGCTCTAATTTAGATGAAAGGTCAGAGTAGGAGTCAGGCACAATTATTTGCATAATCAAGTATAATTTTTTATTTTTGTGTATGCTTGTTTACCCACTGAATAGTGGTGACAACATAGCAACCATGTACAGATACCTAATTTAAGCGCGGAAGTCTACTTAAGGGTCTATCTACCCTTTTCAACTCTACTGATAAGGAGCTTCTGTAGAGTGTAAAAGGAGTGTTGCAGGTTCAAAGTTATGCAGTCAGTGAACAAAAGGCAGTTAAGACACGTGGTTATGGTTTGTGAAAGAGGTTTATCTCTTTCAGAGGTGTTTTCAGATTTGCTCTTCTGTCAAAATCCAGTCCATAGGATGTCACAAAATATATCTAGGATGATTCAAAGATGTCCGGGTGCAGAGAAGTGGTTAGTATTTCCCACTGAAATAATTCAATAGGTGCTTGGCACAGGATGTTCTCAGAGTGTCTCCAAGTCACAGAGTAGCTATGCAATCAGTAGTTTCTTTTCAATTTTTGTCTTAGTGCAACAAGGAGAGTCTTTCGTTATCAATCTGTATTTTTTTACTCCAAGACAGCCCTTCACAGTTTCAGTGAAACAAAACTCGAAAGGGATTTAAAATGTAGACCTTGCAGTCTCATTAGCTGTTGTCTCACCCCCAGCATTCTCCATTTTCAAAGTAATTTCCTCTGAATCAAGGGCCCTTCCCAGAACATGGCATGGTTACATGAATTTGTCCTGAGCACTTACCTGGGGAGCAGTTTGCAAGTGTCACAACTGATTTCTTTTGTTTAAGCTGACTTTTTTTTTTTTTTTTTTTTTTATTTGCTGCATTATGTACAAGTGCCTTAATTTGTGCATTGCAGTCTGTTCATAAATTGCTTTCTCTCTTAATAATGAAATAGATAAACACTTAAGATTTTAATGTAGACTGAGAGATGGGTTATATTTGTCCTAATGTCTGGGAAGGGCAGACAGTTCTTGTACAGATATTAGCATTATGAAACGAAAAGTTATATGTAATTTTTAACATTCTTTTATGTCCTTTTAACAGTTAGAGAACACTAAATCTGCATTTGATGAGTAGGTAGGACACAGTAACTAAATTTTTCTTTAGGAAAAGAAACCAGATTATTGAAGATTAAACTAGTAGCTTTAAATTCAAAACATTTATCAAAGCAATGTAAGTAGGAGAGGTCTTGTGTTTCTAATCTGCCATGTTTTCAGTCTCTGTTCTCCCTTTCTTCATAGGGTAATTTACATTTTTCCAGGTGTTGAGAGAATACAACACTTAAATGTAGATTACTAATAAGAAAAAGCAGTCACAATAGATCAGATTGTGTAGAGGTTGATATACAAGATGTAATTTTGTGGGGACACAATGGTTGAATAACAGAATCTTTACAGTTTGCAAATCTGATTTCTGTGAAAGATTGTGATCCATTGTGAAACCTAATCTTGTTACAGCAGTTGAACTCATCATACTGTAGTTATGTGGGGAGAAGTGGGGTGGAGAAGAGAGACTGCAACACATTTCTTCATTCATTATCATTAGTTGTTTTACATGGAAATAATGGACTTACATTGCATAGACTTATGTTGTAACAGTCTTGAATTTCCCTGCTGAGACCACCTTGAAATGTTCTGCACTGCATATTTTTTCACAGAATTTCCCAATGCAATACCTTAACAGAGAATCCTGCTTCAAACTGTGTAGTATGATGGGACAACATGCTTTTGCTTGATACTTCAGGGTAGTTAGCACAAGGTTAAATTTACCCATGTGTTTTTATCCACAATTTTAAGTTATTTCCCTGCACTTGGAGTTTGGATCTCCTCAAAGGTAAGAAATCTTTCAACACAGGAGCCTGCAATGGTTTACATAAAACTGAAAATACAAGCCTGGCTGTTACAGTATTAAGCTTCTGAGTGCTTGGTTTATCAGTAGATGTTTTGACAGGAAGCACAGGGAAAGTGTCCTAGATGGCAAATGTGAGTGACCAATTACAAGTAAAGTGCAGACTGAGAGCTTTGTAAATGCAAGTAAATTATACAGATAGGACTTCTAACTTTGTTACCTCCCCAGCTGCCATGCCCTTAATATTATTTTAAATTATATTCAGTAGGATAATTTAAATATAAATCATTAAATCTATTTCACTGGATTATCTGTATGCACCCAGAGATTAATATAACCAGATTCTAATCCATTGGCTGTTTTGTGGATATTTTCCTCTGCCATCCTAGCTATTGATATCAGCAGGCTGACAGTCTTTGTCCACAATGAATTACATTGTTCAGAAGTGTTGATCATTCTAGAAAAGTGTAAAAGGGATTTTTTCTGGTTTATTGATGCTGGTTTCTCCATTAGGCTTTTTGAATGAGTGAGTTTGGACAGCTCTCAGCAAAGATTTCAGATGTGTACAGGAGCCATGAACCAGATATGCCTGGCTTCTGATTTTTACTTTTATTTCACATAATATACAATTTCATAACATATTTGGGGAATATTTTGAAATAATTAATAAATCTGAAGAAGCTGTGATTTGAAAATATATTGCATAGATAGAAAAATGCCTATATGTATCAAGTGATATATTTAGTCCTTTAGCTGAAGTCTGCATATTAATACAACTTTCTGTTTTTGAAGGTAGTGCTTCTGATTTACATTTCGTGATGAGCACATTCATCCATCAGCAAGTTTTATTGTTATAAATTACATGTATAAATTTGTGCGCCTGCTTTGAAATTTAGGAAGTTGTGTGGGTTTTGGCTGGGATAGAGTTAATTTTCTTCATTATAGCTAGTGTGGATTTGTGCTGAAAACAGTGTTGATAATACAGGGATGTTTTCATTATTGCTGAGCAGTGCTTACACAGAGTCAAGGCCTTTTCTGCTTCTCACACCACCCCACCAGCGAGTGGGCTGAGGGCACACAAGAAGCTGGGAGAGGACACAGCTGGGACAGCTGACCCCAGCTGACCAAAGGGATATCCCATACAGTATGACCGCCTGCTCATCAATAAAATGCTGGGGAAAGAATGGGGAAGCAGGGGATGTTCAGAATTAGGGCGTTTGTCTTTCCAAGTAACCATTACATGTGATGCAGCCCTTCTGTCCTGGAGATGGCTGACCACCTGCCTGCCAATGGGAAGTGGTGAATGAATTACTTGTTTTTCCTTGCTTGCATGGCTTTTGCTTTTCCTATTAAGCTGTCTTTATCTCAGGCCACGAGTTTTCTCACTATTACTTTTCTAATTCTCTCTCCCATCCCATTGGGAGGGAAGGGGAGTGAATGAGCAGCTGTATGGTGCTTAGTTGCTGGCTGGGGCTAAATCAATACAGGAGTTTAAAATTTTTCTTCCATAGACTAATTAAAAAAAACCCAAAACAGTTGTTCCTCATGGCTAAAGTGATTAACTAGCTTTGAATTACTGCCAGTTTTCTTTTAGCAGAAGAAGTAATTTGTGCTGGACGTTTCTGTATTACATCTTCTTTTTGAAAGAACAGTATTGCACCAGAGGTTTGTTTTCCTTGAATAAAGCACGAACAAAAAGCAAACATTTCCCATCTAATGATTTCCATACATACTTTATCAGAAAGTTTACCAAGGAGCTCAGTTACTCTTTCTTTCGGTATCAGTCATGATTGCTTCTCTTGGCTTGCTGGTTGCTTTTTACTTTTAATACCTTCAGACATAATCAGACACAACTGTATGGCTTACATTTACAATCACTTTGTGGAGAAACCTGTCATGTTCCTCTTTGGCTTAATCATGTGTTGTTTAGGATGGCATCCCTTACAGTCCCCAGAAAAGTGTTTGTAGTCACTAGATAGCTTACATATTCACAAGTTATCACAATTACTTCTTCCATGCAGAGTGAGCAGAGAGTTACAATATTTTCAATAACCTGTGAAGAAGATTCGTTAGTTAATACCAAAGATATGCTAGACATGATAAAGATATATCAGTAGGCGGTTACCAATCATGACAGGTCTGATGGTTATGGAGTTTAAAATTATATAAGCCTTAATAACTTAGATAGGATAAATAGAAGTACTTCATATACCCATTACAGGATCTTCTCTGTTTACTAATGTATATTCTACCAAATCAGTTTTCTGTCAGTGCTGGGGAACCAAAAATTCTTTGCACGTTTGCCTTCTCCTAATTTGTTTTCAAAAACTAAGAGAAATTTTAATAAGCTTCTAGAAATGTCAGTTCCTGTGAGATCTAAGACAGATCTCATCTATTCTAGTCAGAATAGGAAATATATCAGTTTTCAGATTATCCAAGCTCAAGTTCAGAAGTGGTGTTACATCCATCTGGCACTTTCTTAGACTGTTTTCATGGTTAACTCATAGCTGTAACACAGTTACAAATTGTTCAGCTCAGTAGGGTGCCAGATAACTCTGATGGATTATCTAGGGTAGGGTGCTGATTTCCTTCATTAGTTATGAGTCAGGCCAGTTTCATGTTTTGAAGCCACGGATTTTTTTTTTTTTTTTTTTTGAGGACATTACATTAATAACATAGTGATGTATTTTTAATATGGTTTATTGTTGTTTTAAAGGATACCTGTACAGTCTCTAGGGTTGAAATAATTTTATTTCTTTGCCAAGATCTGATAGAATTACTTAGTTTATACCTAAAATTTCACAAACTCAGTGTTATTTATTGTGTTCTGTAAATCACTAGTAGGGATGGGAGATGCTGGAGCCAGTGTTTTTGGTGCTGTCCTACAAAGGCACTTGGCTGACACTGTAGTCCAGAGTACTGGTTTTAGCTGGAATAGTGTTAATTTTCTTCATAGTAGCTTGTTGAGTGCTATGTTTTGGATTTGTGACCACAACAGTATTGATAACACACTGATGTTTTAATAGTTGCTGAGCAGCGCTTGCACAGTGTCAAGGCCTTTTCTGCTTCTGTGGAGGTTTGAACTCAAGCGGCAGCCAGACACCACACGGCTGGCCCTTCACCTTCCCTCCCCCTTCTGGTGAAATAGGGGAGGGACAAAAGTAAGAGAATTCATGGGTTGAGTAAAAAGAAAGAATTTACTAAATATAACAAGAGAACAACAGTGAGTTCAAAAAGAAAATGGGTAAAATGCAGCAGTGGCTTAGCAAATGTAGCGACTGCCCTTCACAGCAACAATACCACCCGACCAGAAGAGGGCGCGAGTGAGAGCATGAGTCTGCGAGAGAGACACACCCCCACCTGGGCATGACATCACAGGGTGTGAAATACTCCAGTGAGAATTAACTCCATCCTGGGCAAAACCAGGACAGCTTCTCATACTGCCCTGCCAGTGAGCAGGTTAGGAATGCGCAAGAAATGGGGAGTGCACATAGCTGGGACAGCTGACCTCAACTGACTAGTGGGTTATTGCATACAATATGGGATCGTGCCTAGCAATAAAATCTGGGGAAAGAATAAGGGAGGGGTGGACACTTGCAGTTATGGCATTTGTCTTCCGGAGTCACAGTTATGCAGGATAGAACTCTGTTTTCCTGGAAATGGTTGAACACCTGCCTGCCATTGGGAAATAGTGAATTAATTCCTTGGTTTGCTTTGCTTGAGCATACAGTTTGGCTTTCCCTGTTGAATTGTCTGTATCTCAGCCCATGAGCTTTCTCACTTTTACCGTTCTGATTCTCTCTCCCATCCCTCTGCAAGAGAGTGAGAGCGCAGCTGTGTGGTGCTTAGCTGACTGGGGTAAGTCATGACATTCAGCTAAATGTTTTTACCTCCTGGATAGTGTACATTTTTTCTTTACAATCCCAACAAATTACTTTGGCTCCAAATTTCTTCTTCATTATTGCACAACTTGTAACTGTTGAAGAATTCATCCATTAAATTCCTCTTTTTGACATGATTATTAGTCAATAAGTAAACTTCAGGCCATTTTCTGAAACAACAAATTTGACTACAACAAACGTTGATTGCTATTTTCTCGGGCAAAATTTGAAACATACAGGCTGTAATGCACTCAGTTACATTAGATACTGCTGCATTCTTATTTGGATAAAATGTTCTGTGTATATATAAGTGTATATTGCTAATATATGATTGTAGAGAATTTTTCCTGTGTTTCCGTGATTTTATAAACTTAAAATGGTTGAATGTATTGAGAAAAGGCATCACCTGAGAATCTTCTTGCAGTGGACACCAGTACTTACTGAAGTCTGTATTTAACATATTCTACGTGATAATTAGGGCTTTTTTTCCCATTGCAATAAAAATGCTATCGTGGTGATTCTGTGAGATGCCACAGTTCATAGATCTTACAATTGTACTTTATTCTAAATAAAAGATCTCATCATTGGGAAGTTTCTATTATCTTTAGCCCATTGCAGCAAATCTATGTCTACTGGTCCACTGGATGAATCAGGATGAATTACAAATAAGAGAACAAAGAGAACAGTTTATATATACACTGAATTCCTTGGGGTACCCTAGTCCATTCTCTTCAACTTAGCACACTGTCTGCAAACATCAAAGAGATGCTGTGCATTTCCAATTCTGCTGGATGGTTGCAGAATTGTAACTTTACAGGTTTGTTTGAACTTCTTTGCATGTGGGCCTTCAATATTATTGAATGGAAAAGCTACTGTAGGTTTTGAGAAGTTTTCTTCTCAAATGCAAATTTGAGATGCAGATACTCTCCAGATCTAAAACTTTTGGAAGATGATAGAAGTCTGTTACAGGGTATTAAACATAAATTGTGGATATCATTGGTGGAGGACCCTAAGACACAGAGTGTGTAAAGAGGGAGAACAGACCCAGAGTAATATTTCTCTCTTCTTGCTCTAGCACTGTTTTATTCACCTAGACACATTCATCTACCAGTGTTCCTGTTGGCTTTCCCTGTAACTGAGCAAGCAGTGAGTACAGGAGAACAAAGAAAGTCAATCCCCCCACCTCCCCTACAAAAAAAAGGTACTAGATAGGGGACTAGGCATAGCACCCCTGACAGTCCCCACTACTAATGCAACACACAATACATCATCTCACCAAAATATTAAATGTCTTCTGTCTCCAAATGAAGAGCAGAAAATGACACTCAGGGGAAAACAATCATCACAAGGGACAGTAACTGGAGGGAAAAAAAAAAAAAAAAAAAAAAGGGAGGGGAGGAGAATGATGGTGTTGCACTGTTGAAAACGACAAATATAGGAAAGACGAGATGTGGCACCAAATAGACCATTCCTGGTGTTACCATTAATATTGGCCTGCACACAGGACAGGGTCAGCAAAGGTCTTTGGGTTGGTGCAGTATGACCATTCAAGTCAGAGTCTCCCTTTGGATAATGAAACTTGACTCTGGAATATAAACATTTTGCTTTAGAAAGCCACCATCATCTGAAGTCCTTTGTTAGAAAAGAAGTGACTGTGAAAAAAAAAAAAAAGTGTGAAAGGAAGTTTGAAAACAAGTCAGTTGAGGCAGGAGCTTTCACAGTCTGAAGCAAATTGCATCTTGGTGACAGAACTGCTTTTCTTTTCTCACCCAAACTCCAAATTATCAAGAATAGGAGAAAGAGGAACCCATATAGAATCCTTAGAATTCTGCACATTTTGGAAGTGTGGAAGATTGGAAAATTCTTCATATTCTCAGCTTTCTGTTGCCCATATAAATTATACCATCACCAATTTATCTTAGATAAATGTCCTCCTTTAGCGGTAACTCGTCACTGTTTTTCCAACTTCAGATGTAAGCTTACCACAGACCACTTTTTAATGTAGTGGTTTCTATCCTGTTATTTTGCTGTCTATCCATACCATGCTTTTTCTGAAATCTCTTGGGCTGAAGCCAGAGTATTGGATAAACTGCTCATTTAAATATTCAAGCTTGTATGCTGGAATGGCTCAGAAACTGAGAATTCACCTTATTTATTCACCCTCTTTAGTCTTCCTCTAAAGCAACTGTTACTAGAGTTGCTGACTGCCGATTCCAATTTTGCTGCCTTTATTCCATGTTTACCTATTTCTTTTTATCACAAATGTTCAGCATCAGATTAAAAATTCCATTCTCTCTTCAGATCCGTTTTACTTTTAGCAATTAATGTTATTCTAGAATGTTGGGTTTCAGAGGAGATCTGAAGTTTCATACTTCTTTTCGGTGTGGAAAACTACTACAGTACACAGATACAATTAAGATATCGGCCTCGAGGCAGGACAACTTGCTC